TATCCCGTTAGCTACATGCCCTTAAAACATTAGGTTTGAGAATAACTTTGGGATTGTTGCTGGATATTAGTTCTTATATTATTCCTCTTAGGATTTATGGAAGTGTATGTTTTGTCCACAAAAGGTTTTGGCAAACGAGGGCTGTCAAATATGTTTAGTGGATATTCTACCATCCAAAAAGGTTATAAACATTACCATTCTCCCTGAGAAACATTTTATTACTATAGATATCACTTTTAAAAATTTGAACTGTATTTTTCCTCACCCAAATACCTTTTCAGAGAGAGTCTGGTTGAAATGGCAACTTTCCTTATTCATCCTTCATATTCATATCTATTCATATTTGTACTAATTTTAGTGATAAGCATGATAGTCTTGACTCTTATATTTACTCTAATAGATTGATTAAACTCAATCCAAGAATCTATTCCCATAGACACAAGGTAGTTGAACGAAGTCTACCTAGTCAAATAACAAATCTGGATTCGGCTCCATTGGGAACATTTGGTGAGTCCATCGAAACTCTTATTCTAGTATAGTGATTTTGATTTTTTTTTTTTTAATTTTTGTAAGAAAAAAGGATTCATATTTGTACTAAACACCCTATATCCGATTTTATCTCGCGTGAATCACTACCATAATAATATAAGACATTTTTGTTGTGTTTGTCTTTTGTTTCTATGATACAGGTTTGACAAGAAGCTTTAACTGATGCTAAAGTAGAGACTATGGATGATCAATTAAGAGGTCTAATAAAATACAAGACGTGAGAACTTGTTGATCTTCTATTAGAGAAAGAAATTTTGAATATTTACTTATATTTCATTACATAAAGTTAGAAATATATATACATAGAACATGAATCTATATGTGAAAACATAAATCACTATATTAATGCTAGGAAATCAACTAATAATTAGATAAGAATATTCCATAATATATTTTGTAATATTTTAACACTCTTCAAGTTGAAGCATAAATATTGATCATGCCCAATTTGTTACGAAAATATTCAATTCGGGTTCTATTCAAAACTTTTGTGAATATATCATCTAATTGTTTCCTTATTTTCACATAACCGGTAGAAATCAAGTTCTCCTGAATTTTCTCACGAATAAAGTGACAATCAATCTCAATGTGTTTGGTTCTTTCATGGTATATTGGATTTGAGATAATATGAAAGACAACTTGATTATCACACCAGAGTTTTGTAAGTAATATGGGATTCAAACCACTGCCTTTAAAAGGTGTTGTATCCATAAGATTTCACATGTATACTGGGTCATATCTCTGTATTCAGACTCTGCATTGGATTAGGACGCAATGGTCTGCTTCTTACTCTTCCATGATTCCAGGTTCCCATCAACGAAAACACAATAACCTTTAGTAAGTCTTTTATCAATTTTAGATTTATTTCAATCAGAATTTGTAAAGCATTCAATGTGAGTGTGCCTATGATTGCTAAACAGTATATCAAGTCTTGGAGCACCTTTTAGGTAACACAAAATCTATTTCAAAGCCTCGCAATATTTAACTGTAGGTGCAGACATAAATTGATTAACAATACTGACAGGATATGCAATATCTGGCCGAATCACTGTAAGATAATTCAGTTTTCTAACTAATTGTCTGTACCTTTCTGGATCATTAAAGGGGTCACCATCATCTTTAGTAAGGTATACATTTGGTACCATTGATGTGTTACATGATTTAGCTCCAAACTTTTCAGTTTCTGCAAGTAGATCAAGTACATATTTCCTCTGAGATAAGAAAATTTTTTTCTTGTTTTTTGTTATTTCTACTTCTAAAAAATATTTTAACTGATTCAAGTATTTGGTGTGAAATTTGGTATGTAAAATTATTTGAGAGAAAATATTCCTGCACAGTCATCTACTGTAATGACAATATTATCAACATAGACAATAAGAAATATAAGATCAGTTACTGACTGTCTATAAAGATTGAGTGATCACACTTGTTCTTTTTCAACTTGAATTCAAGAGTTACTTCACTAAATTTGTCAAATTACGCACGGGAACTCTGCTTCAAATCATGCAAATATTTCTTCAAATGACAGATTCTCTCATACTTCCCCTGAGTAACAAACTCAAATGGTTGCTTCGTATACACTTCTTTTAAAAGGTCACCATGAAGGAATGCATTCTTGATATCCAACTGGTGTAAGGGCCAGTTTTGAGATGTTGCAATGGAGATGAATAAACAGACAAATGTAAGTTTTGCAACTGGAGAGAAGATATCAGAATAATCAATCCCATAAGAATTTTGCTACAAGTCAGATTTTAAGTCTTGCTATTGAGCCATCTAGGTTTATTTTGATTGAAACACCTATTTTCACCCCACGATCATTTTTCCTTAGGGTAAATCCACCAAATCCCAAGTATGATTTTCATCGAGAGCATTTATCTCTTCAAGCATTGCATTATGTCAATTAAAATGATTCAAGTTTTCTTAACTGTTATAGGTATAAAAAATTAAATTTATAGA